GCTTTTTTATTTTATTGCTCCGCCTCCAGTTATTTCCTGTTGATATGCTCAGAATTGAATGCATATTGAGGATTTTTTTTCAGGATATACAGATTTTGGTGGGTCTGTTCAAGAAAAAAATTGCTCAAGTTGGTTGATTAATTTCAGGTTAGGCATATTTAGGTTATTTTATTTCTGTCTTTCTTTTTTGGTAAGCTGAGCTTATATTATTCTATTAGTTTAGGTTATTATATTTTTGGTTAGTTTAGCTTAGGTTTTTCCATTTCTGTGTATAGTTTAGGTAGGGTTGCTTAGTGCAGGTTAGGTTATTTTATTATTGGTCAGTTTACTTATATTCTTTTAATTTTGATTATTTTAGCTTTTTAAAGTTTTGTTCAAGGATACGGTTGGTTAAATTGAAAATTTTTTAAATTCTGGTATTCTTGGTTAGCTAAGTTTATGTTATTCGAAATCTGCTTCTAGTTTATTTAGGGCTATTATATTTATGATTAGTTCAAGTGAGGTTATTTCATTTTTGGTTAGTTTATTTCGATTATCTTATTGTTGGTTAACTTTTGGCTTTTTTGCATTTTTAAAAGATGAATTTGGTAAATTTTTTGTTGAATTTTGATGCAGGTATAGGATAAAAATAATAAAATTTAGATTGATGCATAATAAAAATGTCTTTGAATAATCTGTACAAATAAGGCCATAAATGCCATCACTCAATAATTCTCCAAGTCTAATTTGTTTCAAAGTTTGACTGGTACAATTTTTTTCATTGCTGCTCATCCAAGTATTTCCTGCTGATGTCATGCATCAAATTCATATTGATAATGCTTTCTCAAGGAGCTGCTTCTTGCAATTTGTATGAATAAGATTGGTCACAGTTGGTTAATTCATTCAGGTTGGGTTGGGTTATTTCACTTTTGGTTAATTTAAACTGTGTTATCATCCAGGTCATGTTTTTGGTTAGTTCATAAAGTTAGGATATTCAATTTATGGTTAGTATAGGTTAGGTTTTTTTGTATTAGGTTAATTAATATTTTTGGTCATAGTTTATAACTAAAGTTGGTCTATAGAATAAAAATAATAAAATACAGAATTATATATGACAAAAATGACTTTGGATAATCTGTACAAATTATAGGGCCTAAATTTTCTCACTAAACAATAACTCCCCAAATCAAATTGGCTTTGGAATCTTTTTTTTTTTGAATATGACTGAGAGAGCGAGGTTCAACTACTGCATAATACTTCCGGGAATAATTCCTTGATTTTGGATATCAATGCAAAACAAGGCCCTGTGCTGGATGTGCTGCTCTGAAGCCCCGTTCTCATAAATTACCTTCACATCGGTTACGTTTAAAAGATGCCCGTTGGCGGATCTACGGCATAAAAACGCGGAAGTGTTCTCTTGCCTGTGCTGCATGTGTGAGCATCAGCAGCAGCAGCATCAAAAGAATTTCAAGGTTGAAACGGCTGAATAGTTATCACCACCACCTGGTGTGCACTGAAAAGTAAAAAAATAAAATCCACGGATGCCTTTGAATGGCATGAAAGAAGGGGAACATATAAAAGAAGGGAATTTAAGCTGTACCGGATTTCTGGTTCATATACCGTTTGCTCAGAGGAGATTTGTAGACACGGTCAACACGCAGCAGCAGCAGCTGCTGCTTTTCAAGCCTCTTCCGGCTTAATCTGTTTGTGCACACGGATGAGGAATAGATACACACATATTCGTAGTCACAGCAGTGGGGGTAATTTTATTTTTTGAAGCAAGTTTTTTTTTTTTGCGGAATATGGCTGGTGCGTATGTGTGGCGGAATTCGTCGAGAGTCTCAAGGAAATATATAATGGGATTAACGCGAGGAATGTGCATTCAAAAGAGCTCGAATTCCTCGGACGCATGCATGAATGGGATGAAGATGGGACAAATAACGGACCAAGATGAAAAAATTCTTGAATATCTCACGGCCTTCCGACTGATCATTCCAACGCGATTGCAAGCTTTATAATATGCAGTGTGGTCGCGAGATGCGGACATGATCGTGGCAAGTCCCATTGTTGGAATGTCCGCATGTCGGATCATGTTTTCCCATATACACTTTGATAGGAATGTATATTAAATGGGAAAATCAATTAAAAGTTTTTGCCATTGAAGTCTATAGCTACTTGTATATGGGAAAACATCATTCAACATATATACTGTATATGCAAATGCACAGTTATATTCCTATATAGTGCTGTCAAGATGGAACAAATCTGCCCTAACATTGGACAATGTCTGGGGATACAGACATTTTTCAGACACTTTCCATAAAAATTGAAACGTTTTTTTCAAATGTTGATATCTTGAAAAATTTGGGGTACAGATTTGTACTTGTAAGTGACCAAACTTAAAATACCATATTTTTTCTATGAATACAAAGCCCAACTTTTTTCCAAAAATTGAGGCAGAAAAAATTTAGTAGATTAAAAAATTAATCTAAAAAACCATGTTTTGAAAAAGGAAAAAATAACCTTAAACGTGGTGCACATCGACTTGGAGCCAACTGTCATTGGTGAATGCCATAGTTCAGAAATGGAGCTATTTTCCAGCAATAATTGTCATACAGCATTCATGAAGAAAAGTATATGTACAGTAGCTATACAATGAAAGAAGTTCACCATGTTTATCTGAAGTGGAAAATCTTCTGTTCAAAATTTGCTATTTCATATGCTATCACAGCTGCACCACAACACTGTACTAAACCTACCACAGTAAGAAACACATCATTGCAAATTTTTCTCTTAGTATAACACACATTTCTCAAATCCTCACAGGAAGCTCATGGAGTAAATGTTGAAATAATCATATGAAAACGAACTTCCCAATTCCATTAGGACTACTGTACATTTTTTGAGAAATTTTCAATAGTTTCTCCAAGCAGAAAATTTTATGATTAATGCAGGCACTGTCTGCAATTTTTCATCACAAATGTGACACTGATTTTTGTGGTACTGTATATGGATGGAAGCTGTGATCAATGAAAAACATGTTCCCAATGAAAGTTTCAGCTTGCTAGCTAGTCGGGAAGTGAGCGAAATTTGAGTTGCAAAATTTGATCCAGACAAACAAACAGACAAGAAAGCGAGTTAATAAAAACGTGTTAAAATAGGGTGCTGCAGGTACTCCAGGAGGAATTTTTAAAGGAAAAATCTCGAAAAGAATTAGCATCATATAAATTTTGAGATAATAAGGAAGAGGAAAAGTTTCACCCCAAGTCTCCTTGTTCATAGAAATTAATGGTTGAAGGAATTACAATTTTAGGAAAATTGATGGATTGATAAACAAGCTTTATTTTCTGCTTTTCAGCATTTGCTAGGTTAAAATAATTTCCCCACATCCAAACCTTATAGGTTTGGATGTGGCTATGGGTTTATTATTATTTGAACCTTATAGGAAGATTGCTGAATTAAATTCCTTCATTAAATAACTGCATGGATTGGAGATGCAACATAATGTGTAAGGATGGGAAAGACATTTATCTAATATTGAAAGCTGCCCACAAATGCAAGCACATTTCAACTACTACAATAGACGAAAAGAAGCAAGAAAGAAAGACAAAAAAAAATGCTGATAGACAATTTTAGTCAACAAAAAGTGGGGCGCAGGTCTTACACAGGTAAAAGTTTTTAGAAAAAATTCACATGAAAAAATGGGAGTGAGTGCCTCACTCAAGGGCACAGGGTACTTGAATATACTGTAATTACTGCATTATTATTTTTTCTGTAAATCATAATCATGAGCAGGCTAATTTTATGTTTCTTTTCTCAGAGTTTTTTTTCCAGCATATGTCCTCTCAGTGTAGCAAGACTTGTGCTTGTTTTTTTGTTATCTGGGCTCATTTTGGTATCTTGAAGATGAACAAAACTATTTTTGAGCAATTTTGCACATTTTATTCCAAATGGTTTGCTGAACAGCGTGTATTAATTGAATATGTTTCCATTGAGGTCTATGGGTAAACATTATCCAGTACATGCAGATGCTCCAATATAAGGACAATAAGGTCCAAGAACTAATGAATTTGGCATCTTTGGGCCCCCCCACTGCATTTAACCTTTCTGCAACAAAGTTGGACTCTTTTGACAATTTTGGGTGCACCTCAGGATAACACTAACTCTTCTACATAGGAAAGAGTTTTTTCTCATTGCAGGAATAAATTGGGATTTTCTTCAGTGGGCTTGTGTTTCATTTTTGTTGAAGGCCATCAAAGCTCAGCCACCTGGCCTAAGGCACAGTTGGACTTCATCCAGGAAAGCCATTGTGTTCAAATTTTCCAAAGTTGGACTTTTTTTGGCAAATCTAACCCTTCCTCTGGTACCAAAAATGAAAGGATTGAGAGCCTCCCAAAAAAAAAAAAAAATTCTGCCTGGGAATAAAAAAAGCTCAGCCTTGGGGATGGATTTAAACAAAAAATTGAGAAAAATTTTCTTTGCTTTTTGAAAGAAAAAATTGCCAGAAAGTTTCCTGATTTTGCCCTGGATGCACTGTCCTGTATTTTTTTAAAAGCTGTTTGTGCAGACACAAAAGTTTGCTGAAAAAGTCTGCCTTTGCTGCCCAAGTGTCTGTGCAGGGCAAAGTTTGGAAAAAACCTGTTTTATTTGCTCTCTGCAGAGAAATTTCACACAGAAATGAAAATAGTGCCTCTTCAAGGCTGAGTTTTTTCTATCCCTTGGCTTGTATTGTTGCATCATTCAAGGATTAATCTTTAGCTTGAAAGCCAGGATCCTAGTTTAGAGGTCACTACAGAAAAAGCCACCATTTAAAAAATTGCAGTGCCTTTCTATCCATGGAAAAAATTCAACCTTGCCCTTCCCCATCACTCTAGAGAGTCTAGAGGGATGCACAAGGTTCATAGCCTTAAGCAAAAATGAAATGCACACCCACATGAAAAAAAGTCTGATTTTGCCCTGGGATGGAAAGTTACCTCTTGCCATCCAAGGGCTAAATGCTGCAGCTAATCATGATGTAGATGCAAATTTCTAGAATATTGTGAGAACTCGGAAGGTTCATGCAACTATACAACATAAAAACCTTCAGTCGTATCGTATTCGTATATGACTACCTCATAAAGTCATAACTCTGAAGATATTCGGGCTATATTCCTATATTACTCTTCTGTGAACCGGATTTTGTTTCGTTTTCGTGATTCCACTGTAAACATGGTCAGTATATACTACTTATCCGCAGTGATATTAAAAAAAATTCATATTCTAAGCTGTATTTATGTATGTTTTTTTTAATTTTTGGCCAGAGGGAAGTTATATCCATGCACGTTGGTCAAGCCGGGATTCAGATGGGCAATGCCTGTTGGGAGCTTTATTGTCACGAACATGCCATTGGGAAAGATGGCTTGTTGCAGGACACACTTGGTGTGGGGAAGACTGAGAGTTCTTTTGCCACCTTCTTTCATGAGACTGGGAAAGGAAGACACGTTCCTCGGGCTGTTCTCATCGACTTGGAGCCAACTGTCATTGGTGAATGCCATAGTTCAGAAATGGAGCTATTTTCCAGCAATAATTGTCATACAGCATTCATGAAGAAAAGTATATGTACAGTAGCTATACAATGAAAGAAGGTCACCATGTTTATCTGAAGTGGAAAATCTTCTTTTCAAATATGCTATTTTACAGGATTTCACAGATGTACCATAACAGTGTGTACTAAACCTACCACAGTAAGAAAAACATCATTGCAAAATTTTCTTTTAGTATAACACACATTTTCTCAAATCCTCACAGGAAGTTCATGGAGTAAATGTTGAAATAATCATATGAAAACGAACTTCCCAATTCCATTAGGACTACTGTACATTTTTTGAGAAATTTTCAATATTTTCTCCAAGCAGAAAATTTTATGATTAATGCAGGCACTGTCTGCAATTTTTCATCACAAATGTGACACTGATTTTTGTGGTACTGTATATGGATGGAAGCTGTGATCAATGAAAAACATGTTCCCAAGTGGTTCTACTCATCCTCCTTTCAGAATGAAGGGATTGGTGCAACTGCTGGGATGAATGATTGAAGCTATTTTTGCAGAAGAGGAAAGTCGATCTTTGAAACATTTTAAAAGCCTTTCTGCTTCTATATCAATAAAATGGCCAATTATTTTTGAAAGATTTAAAATCATCATTAAAGAATGCTTTCTTAGCTTGATTGTCTATTCCGGAAGTTTTCTGGCTTTCTTTATTTTACCTTAAAGTCACTTCGAAGTGAAACCAATTAAATGTTTTCCCTCAGGTTATTGCAGTAAATCATGTCTTGAACAATGAGGATCCATAGAGTGGAACAGATTATAGGTATATTTTATCAAGGGCACACTGTATGTGGTTGACTTGGGGATGCTCTAGTTATCCTGGTTAAAACACTGTGCATCAGCATGTATACAGTACCTGATGACTTACAATTTCTGTTGAACTTGATTGATTCAAACCTTACCAAATTGAAAAATATCTATTTAAAATTTTTTCAAGTCTTGTTTTCAGAGTTTTTTTTTAAATCATCTGTGCATATTCTAGCAAGACATTTTTTCTTTGCTTTTTGATCCCAAAAGATCAGATTCTCTGTAGGTTTTTCTGCACTGTTGTTTTCTACAACTTGAAGTTGAGGGAAATAATTTTTGGTAAACATTTTTGAGGACATTTCTAATTTTTGGCAAAAAGGAGAACCAATTACAGTAAATGCATCAGCATTTAAGTCTTAGGGAAAATTATACTTGACTTACAGGCATTCTGAAATTAGGACACTCTTGATGCACCAACAACGTCCACATCTTGGGGTCTCACTGTAGCTTGATATTCCATTTAAAAAGTTTTGACTGTACTATAAGGCAAAGGCCCACAAGAAAAGATTGCCTAATATTTTCTTTTGGGCTTGAACATTTTGCCCATTTTCCTTCAGTTGTTGATCTTTCCTCGGAGTTTTCAGAGCTTATGTTTTGTCTTGTGTGAAATTCAAAATCATTTGAAATACAATTAATCTGCTCTCTCTGAAAGTTCTACCAAGAACTTTCCTCACTCAATATTTTTTATCTCACTATACACAGTACAGAGCAAGGGTAGTACCTTTTCTTTGCTTTTTGGGGTCCGTAAGATTCCAAGAGATCAGATTCTGCATGGTTTTCTTCCACATAGTTTTCTTCCGTGTTTTCAAGTTGAGAAACACAGATCATTTGGGAGCTTATGTCTAATTTTTGATGAACTTGAGAATCAATTAAATTAGTTCCCATTGAATGTTGTGGATAAATATGATCAATCATGTGGAGTATGATGACATAGGGATATTCTACCAAGTTCCACCAAGAACTTTCATGTCAAGTTCCTGGGAAGATTGTTTTGTCTGATTTATTTGATCTCTCTTGCTTGAAATTAATTATTCTAACTTGTAATTGTCTTTGTTGGGATATTATCTCACATGTACTGTATTACCCTCTGTTTAATTTTCCAGATCAGGTGAAAACCGGGGAATATCGTCAGCTGTTTCACCCCGACCAACTCATCAAGGGCAAGGAAGATGCCGCCAACAACTTTTCCCGTGGGCATTACACAATCGGCAAGGAAATCATCGATCAAGTCGTGGAACGAACTCGGAGACTGGCTGAACAATGTGCTGGGTTGCAGGGATTCCTGGTGTCGCATTCTTTCGGCGGCGGAACCGGGTCCGGTTTCACGGCCCTGCTCATGGACCGGATCTCGACCGAGTACTCCAAACGGTCCAAGCTCCAGTTCTCTGTCTATCCTGCCCCGAATGTGAGTATATACAGCAGTTCAGTACGGTATTGTACACTGCGACACTTGACATGCATCAGACGCCCCGAATATTATAGGTATAGGTATAATTGAAGCTTTCAAAAAAATCTACCCTGACTTCTGGACAATTTGTTTGCACATGACACTTCTCCACATTTTTAGGAATAATGGAGAACAATTATCTCTTGAAAAAATTGAGCTATTTAAAAAAAAAAAAGAAAAAAAAAATTAATTTCATTATAAATCTAATACTTGAGTTTAAAATCAGAAGCAAAAGTTGAATCTGCTTTTTTTATTCTCCATACACCTATGCACAGTATAATAAAGCAAGGCACGTGCCTTTTATTTATTTTTCTAGGTTCTTTTGATGCCAGAGGGTCAGATTCTGTGTGGTTTTCTTCTGCATAATTACATTCTGTATTTTCAAGTTGAGAAACACATTTTATTCCATTTTGGGGACTTATTTTTAATTTTTGATTAACTGGGGAACCAAATAAATGAGTTCTCATTGAAATATATGGGTATAAGCATGATCCAAAATGCAGATGATCCAACATAGGGACAAGGTTCTATATAGAACCAATCATATCTGCATCTCAGGGTCTCACTGTATACAGTACAGAGCAAGAGTAGTACCTTTTCTTTGCTTTGTGGTGTTAATTAAGATTCCAAGAGATCAGATTCTGCATGGTTTTCTTCCACATACTGTAGTTATCTTCTGTGTTTTCAAGCTGAGAAACACACATCATTTGGGGGCTTATGTCTAATTTTTGATGAACTTGAGAATCAATTAAATTAGTTTGCATTGAATGTTGTGGGTAAATATGATCCATCATGTGGAGATGATGACATATAGATGATAACAGCACATGTGTATCAATCAACCATCTTGACCTGAGTGGGGAAATTGGTGCACACCGGGGATATGTTTGTAATTCTACACAGTGACCCTGCTGTGCACCTGAAGTGTACCAAAGTTCTTCTGTTGCACATGCGCATCCCTAATGTGCACCAATTGCGTGTTCACACCAGGATTACTCAGGGTCATGTTTGTAAACAAATAAGTGAAACCAAGGTTACTGTTGGTGCATTTGTGTGATACTCCTGTTATGTCACATTTGTGCACCAAATGTAGCCCGGGAATGGTGGCACAAGTTTTTCTACAAAGGTGCATGCTTGTAACCCCAGTATATAGCCCATGTATACACCAATTATTGTGCCCCCAGTGTGCACCATTTGTGGGGTCACACAAAGAATAGCTCCCCACTTGGGTTGAGGTAGAGAAACCCTTATATACTTTGATTTACTATACTGTACATTGAATTAGAGTGATATGTTAAATTAATGAAACTTTGATTTACATTTTTGTTGCACGTACGATTGCATATATAGATCTCCACGGCTGTCGTGGAGCCCTACAACTCCATCCTGACGACCCACATGACGTTGGAGATTGCCGACTGCGCCTTCATGGTGGACAACCAGGCCATCTATGAGATCTGCAAGCGGAACCTGGACATCGAGTCCCCGTCCTACAGCAACCTGAACCGCATGATTGCCCAAGTGGTGTCCTCCATCACGGCCTCGCTCAGGTTCGAGGGTTCTCTGAATGTGGACCTCAACGAGTTCCAGACGAACCTGGTGCCGTATCCCAGGATCCATTTCCCACTCGTCACCTACGCACCCATTGTGTCGGCCGAGAAGGCGCATCACGAGCAGCACAGCGTGGCTGAGCTGACTGCTGCCTGCTTTGAGCCAGCCAACCAAATGGTCAAGTGTGACCCCAGGAAAGGTTTGTGCAATGTGCAATAAGGCAGTACTGCAAAAGATTATTGCTACATTATACAGTACTCTGTATTCATATGATACAGTTGAGCCTCAAAATAAGGTGGGATATTCAAAAGGTGAGATTACTTGAAAAAGAACATTTTGACTTGGTCACATACATACTTACTTGATCATACTTGATCACAAATCCAATAGACATCTTTTAAAGGTAATTCCAAAGATAATTTATAAATGATAATTAAAAATTAACATTCAACTTGATTGCAATTCATTTCTAAATTTAAATTCCGACGCTGCAATTTATTTTCGATGGATTAAAATTTATAATCTTTAATGAAAAATGGGATGTGCATCTTAATCCGAGATACATTTCTATCCGAATTTTTTTGGCTGAAAAATGTACGGGTGCTTGCGGTAGCCCTATATACTCGAGGTCAGGTGGTACTTGATCAAGTACTGTACAGTCTTTCGGGGGAAACAAGTACTCTATATGCAAACCTGAACCTTTAAAGTGGGGTTTCTTTTTGAGAACAAGTGATTTTATTTTCGATTCGCCAGGGAAATATATGGCCTGTTGCCTTCTTTATCGCGGCGACGTGCTTCCCAAAGACGTGAATGCAGCCATTGCTTCCATCAAAAGCAAACGGTCCATTCAATTCGTCGACTGGTGTCCAACTGGTTTCAAGGCGAGTATCCATCATTTGGCTCTGATTCAAAAATGCAATCATTAAAGTGCACGGATTTTCAATGAAACAATAATTGAGCGCGGAGTCCGCTGACCAACAGATTTGCATTTCCACAAAATACCATTTTTTAGATTAAAAAAAAAAGTACTGTATAATGAAACCTCCATGTGAACCCTCCACCATTCCTTACAGTGAGGTTTCATGAAGCTCAACAGGGTTGGTGGTTTGAAAGGGAGTCGCTTGTTCATCAGAAAAGCTAAAGTAATGTGAAAATTACGTTGACAGTCAAACCTCTAGATCAAATTTGAAGGGACCAGCAAAAATTATACTTGAAAAGGTTTCAATTTAAAAAGGTTCTGATTTATGGAAACAAGCATTTTTGCTTTGGAAAATATAGAAGCTACAATAGCAGAAAACTGATATTCTGTACCTCAAATTGCTTCTTAAATGAGTTGACAGGATGCTGAAGTTGGAGGTAAGCATTCATTTGACCAATTTATCATACACTTTCTTTCAAAACACATAAAGTTGCTTTTTTATTGCTTTTTTGTTTTGTATACACGAATAATGCACAAAAGGACTCTGGAATTTCCATTGATGGAGGTTACATAAGAAAACCTTTCAAGTGAAAGAGGATTTTGATGCATCATTCCCTGAGAAAAATTCAGATGGTGACTTGAAAAAATTGGCTTAAGAAGGTATTCCACTACAGGGATATTTGACTTGCTTATCAATGTTCAACTGTAATGGAAAAATCGTATTCTTCTAGAAAACAACAAAAATAACCCTAGGATGCACAACCTATATCCACAGGTGATTGTTCCAAGAATTTTTACATTTTTGTGCTTGTTCTCTTTAATTGAAGACCTCTTGCAGCAACTTAAATCTTTTTTGTGGGCCATCAAAGAGAAAATAAATAGGCAGAAGCATATTTGAAGTGTCAACAATTTTTGTGGATGGTGTTTTAATGTGGTTTCATGTGCTTTTGTCTGTGGGAAGAATTGTTCTTCAAAATAAATCAGCAGTTGCCCAGGATAGTGGCTTATTTGAAAGCATCTTAATGGGGTTTGACAGTTGTCTATATAGGCTTTTATGACAATATTTTCTGGAAATTGATTTCAGGGGAGAAAGTGAACATGATTGAAATAGTGTAATGGGCCACAACATTCAACTTGAAATTACAGTCAACCCCTGAACAATGAACATAATTTGTGCATCACACTAGTCTTTTGTGAAAAGTCTGTTATGCAAATTCAATTATCTATAAAATAAAATTCATTTACCATTTGTTTTAAACCAACAGAAGTTTGTTAATTGGATTTAGTCTGTTGCCCAGGAGGGAAAACTGCCTCCAAAGGCAGTCCATTGTGTAAAAATCTATTGTGCAGGAGGTACATTGTGCAGAGAGGTTGATCAGATGATGAGAGCTAGTACAGGTGAACTCTCTTTACAGCAATCTTGTATACAATGATATTCCCTGAAAAAATTGTTAGTGTTCCCACAGGGTTTTCTCCCAATGTCATATAGGGTTCTTCACACTAAAAATCTCCAGGATTTTTTGACGGTCGCTTGAACTTCATTGTAGAGAGTTCATCTGCATTATTAATGTTGATCAAAGATTTACAGCAAGTGAATTGTGCCTGCCTAGCATGTGTCAGAACATTATACAGTAATTGATTCTGGCATATTCCTCTCTCAGTCTACTATTTTTAAAGATAAAAAACAAAGCAACATTCAACTCATAGTTATTTTTAGTATCAATTTGAGACACTTCCAATTGCCAAACAAAAAATAATTCCTTTCAACTTCCAGGTGGGAATAAATTGCCAGCCACCCACTAGAATCCCTGGCTCTGACTTGGCCAAATTCTCACGCGCTGTGTGTCTGCTGTCTAATACCACAGCTATAGCTGAAGCCTGGGGGCGATTGAATGCCAAATTTGACAAAATGTTTGCGAAGCGAGCCTTTGTTCATTGGTACGTTGGCGAGGGCATGGAGGAAGGGGAGTTCACTGTGGCCCGCGAGGACATGGCGGCGCTGGAATTTGACTATGAAGAAGTCAGCAGGGACCCCGAGGATTCCATTCAATTTTAAATGCCATCTGAGAAAAAAAAAATGTAATTTTCTGTCGCCAATTCTTGTGAGGTTGGTCGTGAATGTATATATGACTGGTTTAGAGAAATATGTCCTCTTTTAATTTGTTAGTGGGTTGAAGACAAGTACTGTACAGCAGGTATAGACATCCTTATCCATGTTTCCCTTGGTATTTCTGTATATTTTTCTGCATTTCGAATTCATCTTAAGGCAAGCTGAGTTTTTCTGTTTTCAACCTTTTTTACATTAACTTAAGTTGTAGTTAAGGTATTATTTTACTCTTAGAGTTCAGGACAACAGTATCCTTTCTGAATAACCCTATATAAAAATTTTTTAACAACACTTTTGTAAAACCACGTTTCGCGTGAGAACTGCTCAAATATATGCTGTATTCATTAAATTGTTTTTTTGTAAAATCCTGAAAACATTAAGTATAACATCTCATTAAGGTTTGACTTTTTCACTATTTTTATCTGTGACTCAAAAGTTCTGATCATTTTCTTTCTAAGAAGGCTTGATTTTATGATTTTCTTTGCATTAAGAGACTTCTGATGGCCAAGAAAATACAGTACTCTCAAAACTCAAGATTAAGAACAGTCTTAATTACAAAACTGAAAAAAATCAGTTGGATAACGGATGCCCAGTTATCTAATTCAAAATTCAAGTTGTTCTGGGAGCAATTTTGGACTGAAATTTTTTTTCATTCCTATTCATTTGATGTGTTGAAATAACAACTGGAGTGTTTTAAGCTCTCAACAGTGACATACAAAAAGGGATTAAGGGCTTTGCTTTACAAAGGCTTCTGTGTAATGAGGAAATGTCACAAAAGGGTTTCAATAGTTCCAGTCCAGCTTAAAAGTGGGAAGTATCCCAGCTAATGATAATTGTGGCTAAACTTTGATTGTTTTCAATGTTCCACTCAATACATTGAAATCTTTTGAGCCATCCCTCAAACCCGACGCTCTCCAATATTTTATAATAATGCACACACTGTTCTATGAACATACAGTACTGCATTGTTCTTGTAGTACTTGTAGCATATGAGCATTGAAGGTTATTTATTCTCTGTTAACCCCTCATGAACTGGAAGGGAGAAGGAAGTAGATTTATTGGGAATCAGGAATAAGTACTCTGCTTTATTCCTAACTAAATAAATAATTTGTACAGTCTGTACAGATAATATTATTCAAACAAATAATCATATTATTATTCAGACAAATCATCATATTATTATTCAGACATATAATCACATATAATAAGTCTGTTTATTAGTATAATAATAAGTCTGTTTATTAGTATAATAAGTCTGTTTATGTCATTAGTATAATAATAAGTCTGTTTATTAGTATAATAATAAGTCTGTATATTAGTATAATAATATCAGACAAATAATCATATTATTATTCAGACAAATAATCATATTATTCAGACAAATACAGTAATCATATTATTATTCAGACAAATAATCATATTATTATTCAGACATATAATCATATTATTATTCAGACAAATAATCATATTATTATTCAGACAAATAATCATATTATTATTCAGACAAATAATCATATTATTATTCAGACAAATACAGTAATCATATTATTATTCAGACAAATAATCATATTATTATTCAGACATATAATCATATTATTATTCAGACAAATAATCATATTATTATTCCGACAAATAATCAAAGCTTCGTCAGTTAGGTGTCCAAAAGCAATGTTGGAATGTTAATTCTATGGTATCACTATGCGAAATATTCTCTTGGTGCATTGGTGGTCCCCTATGTTGTTCGACAAGTATAAAGCTTTCTGTTTCATGTTATCAAGCACACAACCGAATCTTTTGGCAACAAATCATGCTGTCATATAATATTCTCTCCTTCAAAACTAATGATGAAATTTGACCATGGAAAGTCAAGCCTCTCCAAGTACAAAACCTCTTGAATTCAAATCTTCAGTTAAACTCTGGCAAATTAATTCCAATGCCATCAAAATCTCCTTATTGACTGGAATTTGTTGTGTAAAATATTCCTTGGTCAAATTCCTAAGGTCTTCTTGTAAAAAAAATTGTAACGCTCATCCCAGAAACTCAAAATGCCCAAATTGAAAGTATCTTAGTTATTTTGGAGTCCCTTCAAATTTGACTTGAGATTCACACTGTATTTAGAGGGTTGCCTGCAGAATTTTATTCAGCTGAACCTTGATATCCTGAACCTACCTGCCATGTTTGAATACCTTCCCAAGTCAACTGTTGGTCAAATCCCATTCCTAATTCCCTTAAAAACAATGAATCCAAACCATCTTTAATTAAAAGAATGTTCCTCTCAAATGTTATCTCCAATTTTCAGAGGACTACAGTATTACAAACTAATATTACAAGAGCATTAACAATGGGTTTTGAAATGAAGTGAAAGACTGATTGGGCAAGGAAACCCTTACTTCCAGGTTGAGCATCCTGTCAACTGATTCAAGAATCCATTCAAGGCCCAGAATATCACCATTGAAAATTTTATCTAATTTCTCTCTCTCTCTCTCTCCTCCAAAAACAAAAATGCTTGTTTCCCCAAGTCAAATATTTTTCCTGGTCCTGTTAAATCCAGCTTTGACCTCCATAACTTAAATTCCTTTGCTGTTCCCTTGAAATTCGATTCAAACCGCAGGTTTGTCTGTATAATTCGTGGGATATCATTACCAGCAGCTGCTGCTGCTGCTGGATACACCTATGCACAGGGAAAGATAAAATAACGGAATACCAAATCAAACACCCAGCTTCGGATATAAGGAAAAGAAAAACCCCCCACATGTGTTTGCATTCCAGCTTCCGCGAGGTCCCGATCATTATCATGATGATCGATATATACACACCTTGGGATTATCGGGAAACGGGGCGATACCATAGGGAGACAGGTTGAAAAGTGAGTAAAGCAAGGCAAAAGATCAGTTATCTGCTTGTGCCCTGTGCGTGTGTGTGTGTGTGTGTATGTACTGTACATGTGTGTGAGTCTTTGCCGGGGATATGGGATACACAAAACAGAAGAAGGAGGAGAAGGAGAAGAAAACTGGGCGGGCTGGCTACTGAGTGCATTCCTTGCCTCAATTTCGGTTCCCCGCGGGGAACCCCCGGGCTTTTGCCAGGCGCCACCAGCAACAGTCAGCAGTCCGAGCCACAAATTCCCAGCAACTCCGTTTCCTTTTTCCCCCCACTCCGAGCCACGGGGCCTAGGTTGCCAGTCGTCTTACTATT